ACGAGGGAGAGGCCACGCCGAAGGCCGCGGGTACGAGGGAGAGGCCACGCCGAAGGCCGCGGGTACGAGGGAGAGGCCACGCCGAAGGCCGTGGGTATGAGGGAGAGGCCATGCCGAAGGCTGCGGGTATGAAACCTGCCCAGGGCATAGCAGCTGTCCGGTTGGCATCTGAGCACATGCACCTTTAGAGTAGGGAGTTCAGGTAAGGAGACATGGCTTTACTATGTGCTCTAAGCTGACAGTGTCAGTACCCCGCTATTTCTTGTGTGTGTGTGTGTGTGTGTACACTCAGGTGCGTGAAAATACCGGTGCTGAGGCTTGAACTTGGCCTGAGTGCTGTCCCTTTGCTTTTTCACTCCAGCCGCCCTTCCAGTCGTGACTTTTTGATGGTTGATTAGAGATAAAAGTCTCATGTCCTGGCTTGGAACTGCAATTCTCAGATCAAGCCTCTTGAGCAGCTAGGGTTACAGGTGTGAGCCACCGGTGTCTGAATGGGCCCCACTCTGTCCTTCTGTCTCTGTCTGCTGTCTCTGTGTCTCTGTCTCTCTCCTTTCTCACCCTCCCTCCCTTACTCCCTCCCTCCCTCACTCACTCCCCAACCCTCTCCTTTGTCAGTACCAGGAATTTGAACCTAAGGCCTTGACCTTGCTTTGGCTTATTTGTGCAGCTGGTGCTCTACAATCTTGAGTCGCACCTCTATCCCTCCTTTTTGTTGGTTATTTTGGAGATGGAGTCTCATTGACTTTTCTGCCTGGGCTGCTCTGGAACTTCTATCCTCTGAATCTTAGCCTCCCGAATAGCTGGGATTACAGCTATGAGCCCCCAGCACCCAGCTCTTTTGACTGTCCTTCCCCATCTTCCTGAGAAAATGAGTGACAAAGTGAGCTGACCCATAAGTTCTATGTAAAACTGTTTCAGCTCATGTTGAAAGATGGAGGATTCGGAGTCAGAGTTCAACCTGAAAGTCGTCCTGGTCAGTTTTAAGCAGTGTCTGACGGAGGATGAAGAGGTACTGCTGGACCACTACATCAACAGCTGGAAGGGACTGGTCAGGTGCGTGCCTAGGAGTTGCCTCCCTGCAGACATCCTGAAAGGCGCAGCCGTGGCCCGAGGCCGTGCGCCTCAGGCGTCCCGCTGGCAGGCTGTGGTCACCCGGCCATAGCAGGCCCGGGTGCTGTTCCCGTACCACTGCTGGACAGCAGCCCAGGGTGTAGGCAGCTGCTAGCTCCCGCTTCCCCACACAGGTTTCTGAATAGCCTGGGCACCATCTTCTCGTTCATCTCCAAGGACGTGGTCTCAAAGCTGCAGGTCATGGAACAGCTGCGCAGCAGCCCCCAGCGTGAGCACTACACCAGTCTGCAGTCCATGGTGGCCTACGAGGTTGGGAACAAGCTGGTGGATATGGACCGCCGCTCTCGTCACCCGGACTCAGGCTGCCGGACCATGCTGCGCCTGCACCGTGCACTGCGCTGGCTGCAGCTGTTCCTGGAGAGCCTGCGCACCAGCCCGGAGGACGCACGCACGGCGGTGCTCTGCACTGACTCCTACAATGCCTCCCTGGCTGCCTACCACCCCTGGATCGTGCGCCGGGCGGTCACAGTGGCCTTCTGCACCCTGCCCACCCGCAAGGTCTTCCTCGAGGTCATGAACGTGGGGTCCCCTGAACAGGCCATAGAGATGCTGGGTGAGGCCCTGCCCTTCATTGAGCATGTGTACGACGTTTCCCAGAAGCTCTATGCCGAACACTCCCTGCTGGACCTGCCCTAGGGACCGACGCCAGGCCCAGTGGGCCTCCCTTGCCTGGAGCTGAGCCGGGGCAGCCTGGGGCCCTCAGTTCACAGCAGGGCTTGCTGAATACCACAGGCTCTGGCAGGAAAGGCGGTGGTCCCCAGATCAGGAGAGGCACAGGGTAGCTGCCTTCCTGGGCCTGGACAACAAACCTGAGCCCAGCTTCTCCCTCAGCCTATGCAGTGTATGCAGCCAGGCCGCCCTGAGGTGTGGAAGGTGGAGGAGGCAGGGCAGGGAGAGCCAGGATGTTGCTACACCACTCAGGTGTGGAATCCACGAAGCGGCACCACGAGGCTCTGTCTTCCCTCCAACCGAAGTGCCCAGCCCGTGATTCTCCCTGTGTCTGCCCCAGGCCTGGGACACAGCATTTGTGCAGATGGGCAGCCCTGGGCCCCTGGGCCTCGGCCCCTCCATGCTACCACACCCCCAGAAGGGTGAGCGTCCGAGGGCGCTGCACCCTCTGCTTGCCTCTTGGCTGCCCCTTACTAACACCTCTGCACGCTGAGCAGGCCATACAGGCAACTAGGAACTAAAGCCTTGACCCTGGCTTTTCTAGAAGGGCCCAAGACACAACCAGACCACCTCCTCCACACCCCTGTGTGGCTTCCTCCCTGAGGGACACCCCAGGCTCCCGCAGTGGTGCTATTGCAGGCTCCCCCAGCACAACCTAAGGCACTGGGGGCCCGGCACCGCTGCCAGCCCTTACCCTCCTCAGCCGGCACCCCGGGAGACGTCCTGTCCTGTCCTGTCCTGCCCCTGTCCCTTGGTGCCCAGGAAATAGGTAAGGTGTTACTGGCAGAAGGGGATGGGCTCTGGCCTAGCTGATAAGACAACCAGATGACCAGGCCCAGCTCAACATCGCCCAGCACTTAGGGGCGTGGCCTCTCCTGACTTCCTGGGGGGCCCCAAGCCAGACCCCTGAGCACAGCGCTGCAATGTGCATAGAGCAAGTGTTTGGTCCGCCACGCCCCAGAGCCCTGTGCCACCTGTGCTACTCCCAACGTGAATAAATGACTCTTAGGACTGAGCGTGGTGTCCTAGGATGGGGTTTCCGGTGTCCTGGGAACCTGCTCACTGGGGGAGGAATGGGGAGGGCCTGGCCCGGGGAGGGCGGGTGAGCTGCGGAGGAGGGGCATGCCTGGCCAGCCGCTGCCCTGTGCCCCTGACTGTGGCTTGGCTGCCCTCCACGAGATCCGAATTGCTCCATTTTACAGACGAGAAAACAGACCCCAGGGTGCCCTGCCTCAGGACTTTAGTTGAGGAGATAGGTTCCAGGCAGCCTGGACCGGGCTGGGACTGTTGTCTGCAGTGGCAGCCACTTGGATAGGAAAAGGACAGCTTCCCGGGGGACCTTTTGGCACTGCACTCTGACCTCGCATCCTGGGACTAAGTGCCCGCCACACAGCCAGGAACCACTCACGTAACATGGGGTAAGACCAGTGACCAGTGAGGACTGGCCGAGAGCAAGGCTGCAGATGCAGCTGTGTGTGCTGGGTGGGATTGCGGGGTGCCAAGGCGTGTGCACACTTAGCACACTTTCCTGTGCTTTACGGGCCTCACTGTGCCAAGCCATTTGCACACTTACCTGTGCTTTACGGGCCTCACTGCCAAGCCGTTTGCACACTT